GAGAGAGAGAGAGAGAGAGAGAGAGAGAGAGCCCTCAATCAGATATGAAGTTTCGGTTTTAAATGTATTGTATTCTTTGATCAACTATTCGTCCGTTTAGTGGAAATAGAAATTGGTTTTGAAATAGATATAAAAATTTACATTTTCTCAAATACTGTTCCGACAATTCATTAGAAATGTTTCCCCTTTTGCTTCAGTACTTGTTAGAGCTGTAGAGCTGTCGCATCTGGCGATGCACTGGCATAACAGTGAAATCGCCCGGAGCTCAACACTGGGATTCACGTAAAAGAGTGTACATTCAATTGAATGCTGCCTAAAAGCTTTAATACAAGTAACTATCGCTATGGTAACTGAATGGCCCCAGGTCAAATAATTACTATTGGATGTGTTCAATAGGCTCTTAGCGCTAACTCAACGCTCGAGTACAGCATCAGAATATAACTAACAGTAAGGCCTGAGAGAGAGACCTAAATGAATGTACAGTCAAACCACTCTCAACCAACATATCGTACAAACAGTGCACAAACACCACATCTCTCACTCGTCCTCACAGTTTACTCAATCATTACATATATTCTGTGCCAATAATTTGCAGCCATATATTATCCGCCGATTAATAATTGCATAAAACTTTCATTACTATCGTCTTATGTTTCCTATTATTATAAGTGAAATAAATTTACTCTTGTTTTGATGATTACGAGTTCAGTGTAAGTAAACTTTTATGTCATTTACAATAGTTTCACTTTTTTTAGGTATCAAATTATTTGAGATTTTGTTTTTCTAGTTTTTATCAATCCTTAAGCAATTTTGTTGATTAAGTGATTATAAGTTCGCAATAATATAGTAATTATATTAAATAGATTAACAATGTAAATCTATTTTTAACTAATAATTGGAGTTTAATTATACCATTAAAATAGATTTAAAATCTACACATTTATTAATTTTTGAAATGGTTTTTTATTTAACAAACTATTTTTGAGTTTTAAGTTTTTAGTGTTTCCATCAAATAAAATATATTTTTTTCAAATATATCAACATTTTTGTGATTAATTTGCTTTACTGTTGAGGAAAATAGTTTTATTTGAGGAAACGATTAGTTAACAAAAGTTTTTTCTTAACTTTATATAAATCTTTGTAACGAATGATAAATATAAAGGAATGAATGTTTAAAAATGGTAAGAATTAATAAAACTGAATGTTTTGTGATTTCTATTCAATTTTATTAATATTATATTAAAACTAATTGAATTATAAATTCCTTATACAGTATTATATATTATATTCAAACTGTGCATTAAATCCCAATGAATAGCAATTGATCGACAGTATGAATGCTATTATAATCATTGATTTATATATATTTATTTAACTCAATAGAAATGTCAAATTCATGCTATTTATAGAGAATTAAAATGATTTTTCTTTCACATATAAACGCTTTAATATCACACAAAAATGTATTCACTTTTTTGGAAAGAGATTTAGAAAAGTTTATACATATTTGAAATTATGTTGTTTTGATTCAAACGATAACATATATATTTACTAAAATTGTTAATTATTTCTACCACTTAACTAATTAATGGTTGATTTAATTCTCAGTACTTATATGTTGTAAAATGATTACGAAATGACAGATTGGTATCCCTGACCACATCTCACAAATTGATTTTCATTTCATAAACTGTTTTAATCAATCGTCAGATGAAATATATTTTTATATAATAATAATAATTTATACAGATTTGCGTCAAATAAAATTTTAGATTTAAATGAAAAACACATTTAATAATTAAAAATAAGTTTTGAAAATACAATTTTCCTCATTTAATAGACAAAATTGCGATTGAAATAAATTGTGATTTAAAAGTTAATATTGTTTTGCTCATTGGTTTATAAACTTTATATCATTTCTAACTACCGTATAATATGGTTATATTATTTCCAATACTATACAGTACTGTATATTGTGTTGCAATACTAATAAAAGTATAATCCTTTGAGTTCTTTGAAGGCATCTATTCTAGAATTAGAGAGAAAATTGATGTCGAGAGTGATTTGAATACTGTATGCATCGCCCAAACTATATGCACATATATATGAGTAGCATTAGTATGTGTGGCCTCTGGCCATCTCTTTCTCTGGTTGAGCCCGAAGTCATAAATAGTGTTTAGTCTGAACGCAAGGTTACGCACACTTTCATACACCGGAACATCGCTCGCGGCCTCCACTCCGAGATAGTATAGCGACTCCGAGACCATGAGAGCCATGAGAGCGCGTGTATCGCGTGAATGCCCTCCAGTTCTTCATTGGATTCGCAATCAATTATGAATTCAATAAAATTCTTCTCGTTTTTTGTCAGAAGAAGTAGAGGAACACAAACGCAAATAATTCGTTGACTTCTCCTTAATTTTATTTATCAATTGCTTATTACATGCAAAACAGCGTCTATTCGTTCAAAATAACATCTCTTAATATTTGTGACCCACAGGTCGTGGAGCGGCCCGAAGATCATGAGTGGACTATCGGTTGGCGCTTCATCTGTAGGAAGTGGTGATCACTGTCAGAGTCTTAGTGGCAGTTCATCGCCGGCGCAAACATCTCCGACCGCTAATTACAACCATAAGATCTCAGGCATACCATGTGTTGCCGCGGCCTCAAGATATACGGCGCCCGTCCATATAGACGTCGGCGGATCTATCTATACGTCTTCACTCGAAACACTTACAAAGTATGAACTTTTCTTTATTTCCATACAATTTGTTTGAATTTATATAATGTGTTAATTATATTTCGATACACAACCATTAATCGCAATCAATTTAATGTTTTTACAATTAACAAAACAGTCCATAAAATGGGTGGACATATAATTAACTTTACGCAAAATTGTAATGCTTTAAATTTGTAAATTTTGTTTTTGTTTTGTTTTTAAATAACATTTAAAGCAAACTATTAATAATCAAAAAATGCGTAACAAATTGGCAAACAATTGATTGAATAAAATAAATAAACTTTCTTTGAAATGCTAAATAAGGACACAAAGAGTGTTGTGTTAAAGACAATTGAAATTAAGCCAATGACTGATTTCTAGTGATTAATTGTTTTGTCAATTTTAGTGAAGTTATTCAAAAATTTAATTATTACTTATAATAAATGATAGATATTAGGGTTTATGACTGAACATGAATTATTGTTTTTGAATTGAAGTGAATTTATTGTTATTTAAAGTCTTGTACTCAACTAATATTAATATTCTGTACAAACGTTCATATAATTTATAAATATATATTAAATAAGAAAATTATAAAACCATTTTAAAACGATAATATAAATGATGAATAATTATAATATTTAAATCCGAAAACATTAAAAATGTCAAAATATTCATTAATATAAATGCTGTGAATCGCAGACATCCCGAGAGTCGTTTGGCCCGAATGTTCAACGGATCCATTCCTATAGTGTTGGACAGTTTGAAACAGCATTACTTCATCGATAGAGATGGCAAAATGTTTAGACATATATTGAACTTTTTGCGCACAAATTCATTAGTAATTTCGGACAATTTTAGTGAATTTGATTTGTTATATGAAGAAGTCAAGTTTTATGACATACCGGCACTATTGAGGTAATTAAATTTATACATATTTTTCATCATCTCATTGTTTAATACCAAAACTGCAACGAATACATCTCATATATAATAAGTTAATATCTCTATTAGTTTTTAAATGAATAAACGATTAAACAATAGGTTTATTTTAAATTAATCTTAAAATCAATTTTATTTTAATATTGTTGGCTATTATTAGTGTTAATATTTTTAAGGGTATAAATAGTTATTCAGTTTATTATCTAAAATAAAACGAAGACAAAAATAGAGAGCCAGATATGAATTGTGTTTATAAAGACATATATTTGGTTAATAATAAGATTTGTTTGAATGACTGACAGATTATTGGAACAAATGAGAAAAGAGAGAAACAATGGATCCAATTGTTGTTGCAGTCGAAGCACATCTCCAAATAGCAATGCATTTCCTCATAACTATAGCACCAAAAATAGGATTACAAACAAATATAACATCAATAATAATGGACACAATTGTCTTCATAACTGTTCATCTGATGGAAGAATGGTTTCGCCCACTTCTGGTAATCACGAAAACGAAACGGGATTCCAGTGTTTGGCGCTTAATATGAGCCCAGAGTTGGGCGAAAGGGTTTGCATAAGCGGTGAGAGGAATCTGATTGAAGAAGTTTTCCCGGAAATAAGTCAAACACTGATGGACTCACGGAGTGGTGTGGCCTGGAATCAAGACGCCAAACACGTGATCCGATTCCCACTAAACGGTTATTGTAAACTCAATTCACTTCAAACTATCACCAGATTATTGAATAACGGATTCAGAATAATGGCATCCAATGGGGGCGGAGTAGAGGGACAACAGTTTTCAGAGTACTTAATGGGACGCAAATACTTACCGATATAAAACATTTCATACCATTTTATATCCACTTTAAATAATATTTTAATTCTGTATTATTTGAAAGATTTCTTTTTATGACAAAATATAACGCTATTTAAGTAATAAAATTCTAACCTTTCGGTAGAATTTAATTTTAAAAAATTAACAAAATTTGAGATTATAGTAAATTTATAGCTTTTAAGTCATAAATCCTATAACTATATGGTGTGACTATTTTTAAAAGTCTATTAATAATTTATTAAAGATTATGTATAAAATATGCCATAAAATGTAGAATTTTATAATAGATTTTTTACTATTATATTATAGTGTCCGCTAATTATACCAAAATGATCTCTAAAATTCCATTAACACACCAACCATTGGTTTAAAATGTTTTAAGTTTTTAGTTAATTAGAAAAACTATCATAGATAATTTACTAATAAAACTACTAAAACAATTAAGTGTTTGTTTTATATTCTTAAAATATTTTTTGTTTAATTATAAAATATTTCAATTTGTTATATAAAGAATAACAAATATAATAATAAATAATTTATTATAGAATATAATGATAGATGAATACAAGTGCCATACTTTGTATTAAATTAGCTTTAATGGCATTAATGTTAATAAATATATTAAATGAGTAAATTTATATATAATGTAGTCCTAGTTTTGTCCCAAACTTTATATCCTTTGTATATAGAAAATAGTATAGTATATCACAACAGAAAATCATATTTTATTTGCAAACTAACATTTATTTGAGCAAAAATTCCTGTTTTATCACAATGTATTGTAATTACTTATTATAAGTCAAAATCTTATTGAAAAAACATAATAAATGAAGAAATATGTGAATTGGAAATATTTTCTTTATTCTCATTACTCAACGCAAACACAACGAGTATTCATCTCATAATGTTTTGCCCGCAAACTATAACATGCGATGAGCTCTCGTTTTACATCACAAACTCATGCAACAAAAAACAAGTGAATTGTTGAAAGAGTTGAAATAAATTAGAAATTTTGCAATTAATTGGATCTTTGAAAATGTTTGAATTGATTTATTTTGAGGAGTATTTGAAATTCATAGCTCATATCGTTCGGTATCTTAATTAGCGAGAAGTCATTGATTATATCGCAAAGAGATGGTAAGCGCCATCAGAAAGCATATCACATGCCTTCGGGCCATAAACCGCGCCAAAGGGTGGGTTCCAGAATCCGGGATCCCCTGATGGGTACAGCAATTCATGCAATTCAACAAATGTTTATTTCCAGCTTAGGTTTTGCTTTCAAACAATTTTCAAACTTTTAAAGTAATGTACAGACAATTGGCTTATAATTATTAGAAAGTCTGGCACTTGGGATATGGTTTTGACAGAAATTATATCATATTTTATGAGAGAGAGAGAGAGAGAGAGAGAGA